TAGCTAGTCTTTTGTTACTTTTAGCTAGTCTTTTGTTACTTTTAGCTAGTGTTTTGTTACTTTTAGCTAGTCTTTCGTTACATTTAGGTTTTAAAAACGAGCTGTTGTTTTGTAGTTTCACCCGATCAGAGTCACTTCTTCAGCTTCATGAGGTTTCCCTGTAGCCGAAGCCCCAAGCGGACAGGAAGTTACCGTTGTGGAGGAGCTCCTCCAGGTTGTCGGGGTTCTGGGCCAGCTGGAAGATGAGCGTGGCTCCTCGGATCTTGTCCTGGATTTCTTCGTACAGCAGCTCCACGTACTCGTCCATGCAGCTGATGTTCGCCTCCTCGTCCAGCTGGAGGAAAAATACAAATCCTCACATCAGCTGTAAAAACGGCTCGTGGTTCTGATTTATCCGTTTGGATCGGTCCGGACCTCCACTCCCGAGTACGGCGCAAAGTCTGGAGGTGAGATTCGCCTCCTGTCCCGGTTTTCTGTCAAAACAAACAAGCATATTTACGATATGTATGAATCGTCACAGGAGGAATAAATGTGGGCGTGCACTCCTCGGTACCGCGGGACTCCTTGCGGTTCTGCAGGTAGAAGAGCAGCTGCTCCACCTCGCAGAGCTTGGACGGGTGGATGAGCCGACACTCGTCCAGAACTTTCTGAGCCAGACCGGACGTGTCTGTGCCGGAGTTCAAACTCTTCACACGAATACTGGAAACAGACGCACAGACGGGTCAGAACCAGAACCCCTGCACACACCAGACCCAAACGAGCCGGACCGTCAGCCTCACATCTTCTGACACGCTTTGCGCTCGCCCACCACGGGCTCCCCCAGCTGGCCCAGAATCGTTGCTTCCACCTCGTACTGGACCACCAGAGCCTTCTCGGTCGGGTGCACGTCCAGGGAGCACGCCTTCACCCTCCTGCACGACAAAAACACCGAAATCTGACCCGAGCCTGAAGACACGAACGTGTTCAGAAGTCACTCCCTGAACATTTCACCGTTTGTCTCCACAACAACAGAGTCATTACTGCAACATCTTAAACGATGTCACCAGCAAACACTGTCGGCACAACGGAACTGTAATCTGACTGGGATTAAAGACGGTTTTATTCTGACGGCTCTGCTGTAGAAAAACAAACATTTTCACAGTTTTTCTTATTTAAAAGTGTTTCAGGAACAAAAAGTATCAGAATACATCAAATAACTCCGAATAAAAGCTTCTGAAATCCTAAACAGTTCTTGTCTGCGCAATAATTTAGTTTAATTCAGTTCATTTATTATTTGTCATCTCTATGAATCACAAAAATGCTGCCAGCGTTAAGAACAGCATCACAAAGTTTATTTTAATCAAATAAAACAGACTTAAACCACAAACATTTCTCAAAGTCACAAACCAAGAATAACGGAGTCTTAGGAATAAATGTTTTGCAACTAATAGATCTTTAAATAAATCACTTCCTTCTCTAGTTCAGGCTTGTGTTTACTAGTTTGTATAAATAATTAATGAATTATCTACAAAGCAAAGTTTTATCAAAACTGCTATTTCTTGCAGCTTTTGAAATTAATTTCTTGGTAATGAGTTTTTAAACGACTTGCTTTCAAACTCTGCATACAAAGCTGTCACATTTTAATAAATTAACTTTTACAGTGAACCAGTTTTTACTGAATACGTCAGTAAAATCTTTTTTTCTTCTTTATCCACTTAATGTTTCATTTTTTGATTTTTGTTGTTCATTGTTTGAAGACGTTCAATGATTTTTTCCCCTATATTTAAATTGTGTTTATATTAATTCAGTCGTTTATTAACTACCGTATTCCTGTTGAACAAACCAGAACCTTTGGAATAATTTTAAAGTCAGAGTATTTGTTTCTGTTAAAAAAAAAGTATTTGTTTCTGTTAAAAAAA